ACTCTAATTAGTTGTGTTGCTGCTGGCTGTGCGGCGGCTGTGGTTGCTGCTGCCGAAAACGCTGAAAACACCAGGCGCCCAGTGGTGCGCAGTGGTACTACCTGGTAAACCCTTTCCGAAAGAATTCTCACGGCATTCCATAATTCATACGAATTTGGGACTTCGAATGCCTTTTCTCGCTCCAGATTGCTTTCGAACGCCCTCGAACGCTAACAGTCACGGCGTGAGGCGCGAACGCCGCGCGAACGCCTCGCGAACGCCGCGAGAACGCGTCGAGAACGTGTCGGGAACGCCCGAACGCCTCCCAACGCTGTCGAACGCATTCGAACGCTGATTCTCACGTTGACGTTGGAATTCCTCTGGTTTTCCAGAATTCTTACGAATTTCAGAATGCCATAACAATTCCAACGATTTAGGTTTAGCAGGTACTACTACTACTACTACTCCTACTACTACTACTACTACTACTCATGCAACCAGCACCACCACCACTACTGCCGCCGCTACCACAAACCCCATCGCCTCCCACCAAGCTTGCTTGTCAGCCAAGGTATGGGCACACAAGCTGCCATCACTGCCTGGGCGAAGGCTTTATTTTGCCCAAACCAACACCAAGACAGAACCTCACACGCGGAAACACACGTTTAACAAAATTGTAATAATTGCAGTCCTTTTAAGGGTCATATTCAGGTTCCGGGCTCGCAGAATTCAGAAGGAACCCTATATGTGTCATATATATATAAATACATATATATATATAGATATATGTATCTTACAGAAGCCCATCCAAGCCCAGAGATCTTGCACTCTGAACCCAAGAAAACACTACTCCAACCTCACATGATTTCAGAAGCCCTCCCCAATATGGGGTTCAAAGACTCGAATATTAAGGTTTTACGTCCCAAAGGCCATTCAGCATATGGTATTTAAGACCTAAAACCACATGCTTTAAGCTCTTGGACCCTTAAGGCCTCATAAAATCCTCTACAAAAGTATCCCGAGGTAACTCAGAGTGTCCCTCTCTTGACAGAAATGCTTGAAATCCTATGTTCAGCTCCTAACCCCGCAGGCCCAAACGGTAAACAAATCGCTGAAGCCTAAAGTCAAGCACCCAAAGCTAGAACTCTAGAGTTTCCATGACGAAACAAGAAGAACACGTAATGAAATATGAAGCTGGGTCACTGTCGCCATCCACGGCATAGCGCTCCCTTGGGGCTTCCTGGCATCATGGTTTCCTTTTGTTGGTTTCATGCGGGCTTAATGCTAAGAGGATGCCAAACAGGCAGGGCGTTGAGAGCTCAGTTCCCTATGCGACTATCCTCTCTTGACCTTCTATACCTCAGAAGAGCATGACCGTGATCACCAGGAAGGAACCCAACACATTGTGACGTAATCTCGGGTGGAGTACAAGAACTCAAAAATCTAAAACATATAGACTTGGGCCGCGGATGTTTGAATGATTTAGAGTTTTGAAATTCAGGGCCTAGGGTTCCAGGATCTGCTCCAGAAATCCCTGTTGAAGAGGAATGGCAAGGTCCGGGATCTGCATGAGCTTTTAGGCTTCCTCGTGTAAGGTTTTTTGCGGCTGGTTTGGGCTCCATGTCAGGGACCTAGCAATTTCAATTCTGAAGCGGAAGGGAACCCTTTTTTTGCGAAGTGGTCACGCCAATCATCGCTGGAGACCCTATTATGTGCTGTGACAGCACTAGCCACAATCCAAAGCAAATTATGTGCTGTGTGACAGGTCGGCCACAAGTTGTTTTACAATCCCTCACAACGTGGTAGTCACCGTTTTCACTCTCATTCCTTCATTCCTTAGCCTAGTCCCTACCGATAAACATCCCTGTTAACCTGCAGTCTCCATTTCATTCTGAATTTGCTTTGCCAATCCCTACCAGGAAGTACTGACAAGGCAAGCACACTGGACCTCGGTCCCAGGGTGGGTGTAGTTGCTGCTCATCCGGCCTCGGGCACGGTTCAGGGGGCATCCAGGTGCCCCTTTTCGGGAGTCCCGATAACATGATTGTAGTGTCTTGGGGTCGAGAAGGGCGCCGTCCATTCTCGGCAAAGATGAAGTCCTCTCTGTCCATGTTTACCGTGTCATGTCTCTTGTGTCCGGGATGATGCCGGAGGCTGTCATGAGCGTCACTTGTTGGGGGCCATATGAAGGTTTTCCGAAATCAGGGATACCTTTTGGGGTCCCATGGTTATAAGGATCAGAATAAAGATTTTGGGGCTCTATATTGGGGTTCCCCTATTTAGGGAAACTACCATATGCCGCTGAGAACACGCTGACATGGCTGCTTTAAGCTCCGGGATGAATCTCAAGTGACCTCTCTTCCCATTTCCTCGCATTCAAGCTGAGCGTCTATGTAAAGTAAGCTACGCGGCAGTGCGAGTAAGGGCTATAGGAGCGAAGATGATGTATCACCCATTGATACAAACGAACTGTGTCCAAGCTCTGTAAAGCTGGTGAAATCGTTTTGGTGGATCATGGCTACAGAAGCATCTTGTTGCAAGGCAAGGAGCAGGGCTTTCGTAAAGCCAGATTCTTAAGAGCAACGGCGGTGAGCGTCGCCTGTTCAAACATGCATAGATGAGTACTTGCGTATTGCTCAACATAAGGCACCCGGTTCGAGGCCGTTGTAAAGGAATCCCGGCCTTGCACTAAAAGTTAGTGCCGGCGAAGACCCCAAAAAATAGATGGAAAACATTGTAATGAAAGTCATAGTTGGCATTCAGCGCTTATCCGATTAGAACGCGAAGAAAACAAAGTAGCAACAATTTCCAGAAATACCGAAAACATCTACATACCAATTTAAATGCAAGGGCGGCTGGATGTTTCCTTTTCTTGGTTTTGATATTGCAAGCTTGACCATCATGGAACGATGGTCTGAATTTTGCTTCGCTGGATTCTTATTCAAGGGCCTCGTGCAAAAATGCCAGCATTGCAAGACACTACTGCAGCTCAAGGTGTTTTGAGTCTCGTAGGCTTGGGGTTCAGTTCTTAGGGATCAAGGTTGAGGGTTCCGGGGTTAGATTGGAAAGATCTTGATCCCATACTTTACTTGGCAGGTTTTGGGTTTAGGGTGTAGGGTTGAAGGACAAGGACGGAAGCATCTTGAGCCAGGGCTTGAGCTAAGTTTAGCTCCGCCCATTCAGCCCCCGATCCAGCCACCATCAGCCCACAGTTCCAAGCCGCGCGCCGCGTATCCAGGCACCGCTGCCGAACCAACCGTCGCAAGCCTCCAGCCAGCTCACAAGTCCCGGCCACCGCGTTCTTCGTTTCTTCTAAGGAGGGGACCTCAAAAGTTTCCTGTTTGGACCCAGCGTACGCGAATTTTGGTCACGACAGACCAGAATCTTTGCAGGAATTGGTGCCTTTCAAAAAACAACTCATAACAGCGGGCCCACACCCATCCAGCCGCCGCATTCCTCTTTTTCTTTCACGGGCCCACTGCGGCGGTCCACCGCGGGCCCACAAATCCGCGCCAGTTACGATTCGAAACAGAATGGAAACTCACAGGCTGCGCTGCGTGCCACCCATCCAATGGCCGCGTTCTTCTTTTCTTCTGCGGGCCCGCCGCGGCTCACAGGTCTGTGCCGCGCCGCGTGCAGCCCATCCAGCCGCCGCATTCTTCTCTTCTTTTGAGGAGAGGATCCCAAACGTTTCCTGCTTGGGGAAAAACTATTCAGGCTCTTTAATTTTAGCTTGCAAACAAGGCTTCCTCCGGCAGAAAATCCTGCCTCTTTGTATTATCCCTATTTTCCTTACTGACCCTGCTACGCTGATGACCGATGGTTCAACATCCTGAAGCAACGAGGAGCGGGGAAAGCCGCTCCAGACTCTCGAGGTTTGTGGGACTTCGTGCCGGTAGCTACTACTTACTGTAAACCCCCAAATACCCTATATAGGTGCTTGGGTTATGCCAATATAACGCTATATTGCTATTCAGCAACCCGCATGAACCTCCAAGCCTCCAAGTGGACATCATGAGCTACCTTAGAACAACCTTTTCTAGACAACATATCAGAAAGAAAAGACTCTGTAGTACAGTTGAGGTTCTGCTATGCTTTCGTCGTGGCTTAGGGTTTTATGTTGATGTTATGGGACAAAGTTGGCTGACCGCGTAAGACAGGGGCTAAATTGAAGCGGAGGTCGATTCTGTCTGTGAGCTATGCTTGCCTGATGGCCCCATGCACGCATCCTCGCATCCGCTAAGTTATGAACGATGTATGCCCCTCAACCTCAGGTCCAGAAACAACAGCCAAAATCCTGCTCAGACCCCGAGAACCATGACTTGTGTAGCCTAAAAGCCCTCCAGCCTCATCACCAAAGCCCTGATGGCCCACAAGGCCATCCAGGTCCAGCTTGCGATTCTCAAAGGCCAGCTCTGGGTTCCTTTGAACTGTCAAAATGATCGCTGATATTTCAGTGAGCTTCAATGCTATGGCACAGGTGAAATGTTGTTCAGACGATTGAAAGGCCTGAGTAGTTTTTTTTAAGTTAGGCTGGTGCCGTACGAACGCTGAAAGCCACCAATAAACCCCAAACCCTGAGAACCAAACCCTTCTTCCAAACCCTGATAACGAAAACCTACGACAAGCAGACGCCGACGAAGTTCCCGAGGCCGAGAGCGATGATCCGATCAAAGATGGCGCGGACTGGGTGTTCCCGGTTGAAGTACTCAGATAGAAGCCTTAGAACTTTGGTGTTCGGGGGTTATGGCTTAGCGTTCTCGTTGTTGAAAGGGATCTGCTGTTTGCAACCAAAGGCCTTTGAAGCATCAATCTCAGCAGGGCACCCACCAAAGCGAAGGAGCCAAGCCGGTCGGTATACTGCGAAACACTCGGGCTATCTAAAATGCAACTATGGGAATACGGGAAGAAAGGAAACCCCAACCCCAAAATCAGGACCTCATAATCATGGCATGATAGCTAAAGGGTGCTAATCTTGGGGGTTGGGACTTCTGAAGGGACTTCTGAAGGGAATGCCTGTTTGCTAAGGGATTGAGAGGTGGTTGATATTGCAGCGCTACAGGTTTAGCGCTTTTTCTTGTGCAATGCAAATCCGCGCGCTCATCACTACTGTGAAAAGCTGGCATTCTGAACGTCCTCACGCTACGGCTGCATGGGAAACATCCATTTCGCTGGAAACAACCGCACGAAGAAGCCTACCTTATTCAGAGCACTCAACATCCCCCGGAGGATATTCTATTATTAATCCCCACTATACTATAGTAGCATCCATTTTCTTTTCCATTATCCTTACATAACCCTACATTACCTACCCTATATTATTACATCAAGTTGGCACCAGTGTCAGGATGGGGTCTCTGCTTTTCGGAGGGATTGGGGGGTAGGTTGAGAGCCTTCAGACCCGGGATCTTGCATGAGCTGCTGCAACGACCCCCTGCAAAATGCCAATTTTTTCAAAGTGGACATCCTTGATAGGGCAAATGAGCGTTCGGGCAGGAATGAACTACCTGATGCTCCCGATCAAGGGTTCCTGCTCGCCCAACTCAGTCGAGACACTGATTTCCGGACAGCTGCCACACATTGATAAGGACTTTCCCCGCCGCTTCCGTCGGCTGCTTCGTTGGCTCGCTCGTCTTGGAAGCCTTCCGAATGTGATGTGAATAATTACCAACCGCGTCTCAGAGGGCCAGTTACGGTCTCGAAAAAGGATTGGGGTGTCCCGGCTTGGTACTTGTAGTCATTCGCATGAGGTTGTGAACTACGTAGGCGGTGGTTTGTGGTTACGTGGAAGAAGCCTTTCACTCAACGAGTGTCTGTTTGCAAACACGCTGAAACAAGCACTGCCCGAGGATAAGAACCCTAAAAGGGAAAAGCCAAGTTGTGTATACTCCCCTTCGACCATCTGAACTCACTGCCTGGCTTTCTCCAAACTGTCCCTGTCAACGGTACTGACTGCTTTTTCCCCAACCCTAGACCTAAACACCCAAAGACATAAGAGCCTTTAAAAACGGTCCTCTTCTCAAACACTATCTTTTGGATAGAGGACCATGAGAGAGTTCCTGTGCAGTTTGGTCTTCGTTTACTGCAGTATGCCTCCAAACCTCTAAAGAAACCGTAAACCCTACAAACCCTGCGTAAATCCCACACCCCAAGCACTGAACCCCACACCCCAAACCCTAAACCCCAAACCCTAAACTCTACATCCCCAACGCTAAACGCGACACCTATACCTCTGACCTCTTGGCCCTAGGCCCTAAATCACTAAGTCGCTCCATGCTCATCTTGACAGGTTGCGCTGCGGTCCCTGCACATTTTGGACTGTCCGCAGGCGTGCAAAGGAAAGCCTCAGCTTAGATAAGGTTTAGTTTCAAGAGTTTAGGCGTTGTGGGTTCAGGGGTTTAGGGGTTTGGAGTTTGAGGTGGGTTGGCGCTGGAGGGATTATTGTTTAGGGCCTCTAGGGTCTAGACCTGGGTTTAACAAACATGGGAATGTTTCTTGAGATTTCCGAGCCCGGTGTTGAGGTGATTTCCAACAGATTGGGCTTAGCATGGACCTTTGGACACACTGCCTGCCAACCTCCACAACTCCAAATTTCAAACCCGACTCCGAATACTTCCCGCGAAGTTGACACTAAAGCTTCCAAAAAGAAGCCAATGCGAATGGTTACCACTAGTTGAATTTTTTCTACGACCACTAATTATGACTCTGATATATGACTGTTACTGTTGCTATGACTACTACTGCTGGTGTTACTATGTGCCCGTTACTGTTACTCTGACTATAACTGTTACTGTTACTATGACCAGTATCAAGCTCTGAACCCGAAACACCTTTGAGGACATGGCTCTTGGAGCAGCCAGGGCTTCAGTCAGCACTTCAAGCAAAACAGCTGCAAAATGTACACGAATTGCAACAACAACCAAAACGCAGTACCAGGACCTCAAAAATAGGTAAAACAGTAGCCCAAAAACCTCAAACATAGCCCAAAAGGCCATTATTCTACATTTTTGGGGGGGTTCAGGTGGTCAAAGTAGCAGGAACATCATAGTAGAATCAGGCCAGCTGTAACACATCCCATCAGGGATCGTTTAGTGAGTTGGTTGACACAGAGGAACGCAAGCTTTTGCACCAGACATCCTTGGTCCAGCGTGGTGCGAATGGAGGAGGCAGCGGCGTACAGAAAGCTCGGCTCAAAGGGGTCCTAGAAGATCGATATGAGAGCTGACCATGCACCCCCCCCAACAAAAAATAACATCTTCAGTTGGAGGCCTTGAAATCCTGCCACACCTCTAAAGCCGCATACACCCTAAACCCAAACAACAATCCAAGTCGGAAAGCAAGGAACCTTTTGGACGAAAAACTACCAGTAAGTATGAGCAGGATTCTAGGTGCTACTGATGCATTTACATCCCTTCTACTGCACAGGCCTCAGAAGAAGCGATTGTAGATGTCTTGAATCCCGGGCCTCAGCATGCAGTGACGACCCAGGGTTGGAGATGCTTACTGGTGGTTAGCAGGGAATAAGGGAATGTAGGCCCTGATTCCCTACTAACCACCAGAAAGGTAAGCATAGCGTCAGGGCATCCCGTCTCCCCTACCACCTTCCCATCTTGCGTTGTTCAATTCTCAGAAGAAAGCGGGGTTAGTCAAGAGCACATGGACAACGGGGCAAGGAATTGCGGATTTCAAGTCAGGACAAATAACGCAATTTCAATGAGCTTTGGGGCAGGCCAGAGTGCTGTGACACCTGACAGCCGCCAACGCACCCATGAACCCATTCCAAAACCAACTCTAGATACGCATGAAGGGAGGCGTGAGGAGACAAAATAGTCAAGGAACTAAACTCTAGCATAAGTCCTAGGGAGTACAGGTATATGCTGACGATCCCACCCTGGAATTCGCAATTCTCGTACTCTCATGCTTTATAGCACTATGTATCCTTTGGAGGAGATCAGACTTCGAGAAGGAAAGTTGTCCACCTAGTGCTTAGCAGGGAGCGAAGGAATGGACCCCTAATCCTCTTAAACTTGCTTCCATACTTCCTCCAGACCACAAGGAAAATTCTTGCAGGTATAGTAGTTATCATTTTCTTTTCATATTATATATCCCTCTAAACCCTGAACCCTAAACGCAATAGTTTCCATTTTCTTTTCCATTATCCCCATATAACCCCTATATATAACCCCAATATATTATAGTGGTTTCCACTTGCTTTTCCATTGTCCCTATATAAACCCTGTATAACCCCTATATAACCCCTATAATCCCTGTAGTTTCCATTTGCTTTTCCACTACCCCTATGTAACCCCTATATATAACCCCTATAATCCCCGGTAGGTTCCATGTTCTTTTCCATTATCCCTTCACCCCTAGTATATATAGCCCCAAAGCCCCAAAATATATATATATATATATACATATACTATAGTAGTTTCCATTTTCTTTTCCATTATCCTTAATCCCAGGATATCCCCGTGACGTCTGAGGGTGCTACAGCCAAGGCATCACCCCATTTCGTCCTTCCAGGGCCCCTCTCAGCACCTTCAGAAAGGGTTCTCGCTATGCAAGGATATAGGGATTAGGGATGAGGCAGTAGGGCTTAGGGTTTAAGATTTATAGGGTTTAAGGTTTACCTGGGCCCCAAAAATTTGTAAAATAATGGCCTTTATGGCTGTCACTATGGGTTTAGAGCTATTCTTTTACATACTTTCGGGGTTTAGGTAGGGTTTAGAGCTTAGGGATTTCCATTTTTGGGTTCAGGATCAGGCTTAGAGCCGTTCTGCACGGATATGGGGAGTAGAGTCTGTTTGGGGCTACTGATGTATGCATCGTTTTGATCCTCAACTGAATCTAAGATGAGGGTTTGTTCCACCATGCTCAGGGCAGAGTCAAAATCAGGGAACAGGACCCGAACATTTGAGAGGCGGTACATGCATTTCATATCCTCTTTGTTGGCTTCCTGTTTCTTTTCAGTACCCCGAACTCCCTATAAGCTGCTGGTGGGCTCCTCTTTTACGCGTAGCCAAGATGTCTCCCTACTTCAGGTTCCCAAATCCCAGCCAGTCAGTTGGGTTCCGGGACGAAAGGGATTCTGAGACCTTCTTGTTTAAGCTTGGCCTTTTGAGACGCTTCGCAGCTCTGATGGTGTGCAGATTCAGCGCTTTGTCTAGGAGTTGCAGCTTCCCGAATACAAAGTCAGGCCAGAACAATTTGAGCCCACACAAAAAAGCTGGGCCCCAGCTCGCAAAACCCCAGACAATATTGAAATGGACCTGGCTCATTGCTTTTCTAAAGTCTCGGTTGGCAAAAAACCAAACCCAGAATCCCGAGAGAATCCAGAAAGTAGTATCCAGAACCCCCATTTCAAGGTAGTTTATGGCTCCCAGGGGTCGGGGGTAGAGGTGAGTCGACTCTGCTGTTGAGCGTCTCCTCCTGAGCCTTAAAACTCTAAAGCGGTTATATTGAAGTTGTAGGGGGATTGTATCAGGGTTGTTTATACGCGAACAATACAGGGTCATGTAACATAGATATAGAGGGAGTAGAGGTCTTCTGACTAATAGTGGAGAATGACATTGAAAAGAAAATGGGAACCGGGACGATACACAACCTTAAACCCTAAAATGTGAAGCCTAAGCTAAGTTCTAAACAGTGCTAAGAGATCATTGGAACTGCCAGTCTTCAAGACCCCTACGGATAGCCTACGCCCGAACCCCATAGAACTGACAATCCGAAAACCCTACAACTAGGTTGGGGGTTAGGGCTTGGGGAGATTAATTACACCGATAATGGAAATCTTTAAGGACAAGACATGGAAAAATCAATGGCAACTGGAAAATAGGAAGTAGAACTTAACTCAACTTACCACCGGGAAGTATAGAAATGTTGTGGATGATGTGGATTCCCCATGATGGCAGAGTTCCTTCACAGCAATTCATACAAGCGCAAGGGCCGAAAATGGATTAGCTCCGCCTCCTCCCGGACGCTATCTGTAAACCATTAACCCCCACTACCTACTGTTTAGTAGTGCTCCCATAGCACCAAAACTCTGGAAATTTGGGGCAGACCTACTCCCAAACCTCTGAAGCCAATCCCAATGGTCAAGGGTGAAGCAGTTTCGGCCTGAGGGAAGGAGTTGTAGGACCTTTGCAAGAAAGCATCGGAGTGTAGGGCTTAAGGGCCGCTTGCTTTCCTTGGGATCTAGGAACTCCATCTAGATGGTCCCAGCTCGTTGATGAACGCATTCTTACCTTCAGAAAGCCCCAACAGCAAAGATGGGGATGCTCATAGCGACTTAACTCACAGGTGCGCAGGGACAAGAACACTGCTGCAAGTGCTGCTGAAGGCTGATCAAGCACACTTCTAGCACGCCAACGTTCCGCGGATCTTCCGCCCCCTGAAAGGCGTCTGGAGTGCATTCCTCATGTTTGGTCTCATGGATCTGCCCTGATTGTCAAAAGTCCTTGATTCCAGAAACTTGGCATAGTGCCTGTTGTTGAACTTTGTTGACCCATGCTGCGGAGGAGTGTACCCAAGGCCGCGTTTAGACTGAAATTGGGCGCAGCCCGTTGCCACCGCGGCAGTAGTATGCGTCTCTGCAACAGGGGTTTAGGATACACCAGCGTTGCTCCTCCAAAAGCCAAGTCATGAGCGGAAAACAGAGGCCAGCAAATGCGGCAATCAAGCTACGTACTGTACTTGATGAAGGAGACAGGTCCGATCGCATTGATATCCTCCCTGGCAGGATGCGAAATTTGGGGCCCCCACCGTGAATGCTTTCGCAGCTGATGCATCAATAGACCCAAGGCCTGATCAAAGGCATAGTCTTTCTTAGGGTCCCCTGTAACAGGTTTATAAGGAGTACGTAGGGACATACATTCTGGGGATGTTGCCTTGCCTGGAGTTCAAGGCATGAAGTCAGGGTGTAGGCCTTCGAGTTTTGCAAGGCTTTCGGCCGGTGACTTCTGGAATTCATGTCCCGCCACCTTCGCCTAAGAGTTCATCATGGGGGGGTAGCTTGCTCTCGGGACCGCATCGCGCTAATGGAAAACGGACGGATCTTGTTGCTCATGTGAAGGCAGATGGGGCCAAAACTGAATCTTAGGTACTAAGAAGACATGTAAACAAATCCTGCTATGGCCAAACAACTTTCTAGGACGTTGTACCTCTATATGAGATTGGTCCAGGTTCTGGAAATGACCCCTTCCTATGACTTTCATCACCGATTTCCCCAATCAGTACCCTTAAAACTTTTGGCTCCAAAAACTCAGAAAAAACTTGGGCGGGCTACAGTATGGACTGAAGGGGCTATGTAC